ATATCAATATTTTTTGCAATAGGATTGGTCCTATGTTGTCAAAATCATCAGGTTTAAATTTAATTGTTTTTTGGTATCTAAGTGCCTGTTTCAAATTAATTGCCTAAATTCAAAACTTGTCTTGATAACAAAACAAAACTGTTGCTTGGCCTGCAAAGTATGCAGCCTTTTGATACAAATGTTTTAACTCAGGTGCTGTGTGCACCTGCAAACCTGCAAGCTGCTGCCCACAGACATCCTTTTTGAATCTCTAAGCATAGAAAAAGCACATCGTCTTTTAAAGAGACCACACATTGCTTTTCCCACTAGCACTTCATAAACAGCAATGTTTTACAAACACCAAATTCTAACATCCTGCCTTCCAATCCATGATACTCTATCCAACTTCGCAACAAGGGTTATCTCCTGTCAATAGTACAGAATGTTCTGTACATGCCATATGTGACAATGTTTTGTTTGTAATTCAGCTATGAAGGTTTATACAATCAACACTTTCTGAGTATTCAGTTTGTTGGCATTACAGGTGATTAAACTCTAATTATGCTTAATTCAAATTACAGAATAATTCAACTCATTAAAGTGTAGGAAAACAACTTTGAATTATCATAGTTTGGAACTGAGCACTGAGCATACCGACAAGTCAATAGATTAAAGGAAGAGCAGGCACCAGTGAACTAATAAATTCATGGAGCACTGGACACACCAATAAATTATGAAGGTTATAACAAATGAATAAATCAATGCAACAGCAGGCGCAAGTGAATTAATGCCCTTTCTAGCCTTCATTACTTGCTTCATGACCCTAGAACCAATAATTGATTTTCACTAGGAGTTAGTTAGTTAGGTAAAAGTGCTTGAGTATAAATTTAAATTTTGATATTACTAAGGGCTGAATTTTCCGCTCCCTTGTGCGACACGGGTAATGGTAAGAAAGCTGGGAAAATACAGTGAATTTTTTTTTAAAAATCAGATTCTTGACATTGAGAAAATTAGTTTCCTCTCCCGGCCCTGAAGACAGCCCCTGGCCCGTGACATGATTAATGAAGTGAAGAGCAGAAGGCTGCATTAGAGAAGTCACTGAGCCATGGCAGACTGGGCACCACGAATTACATTTGAGAAAACACAGCCTAAAATACGAACATGCTGCTCTCAGCTTTTAACACTTGAGCTTCATACAGGCACTTACATTATTATATAGCATAAGTGCCGGTAAATATTTGTTTTCTTTTAAAATTCCTGCTGGTCATTGTTATTGGGGGGAGAGGTGGAAGATGAGAATCAAGGTCAAGTGCTTCTGGCATTGAGGCGACAAGGATTGGGAGTCACCTATCACAATCTAGTTGGTTTGTCACTTCTTCTGAGGCAGTCCCTTGGGATTGACAATGACTTCCCTCCATTTCAGTTTAGTGGGTTCCGAGACCCTGTTAAGTCCAATACACCATCTGCAGATTCTGTCATATATGCGACGGGTGATGTTTGAAGGCATGGGAAGATGAGATGTTGGAGATTTGCAAGTTTTTCTCTAATACCTCGATACAGTAAGTGGTATGCGGGCACAGTTAAATACTGTACATGCATGGAAACCAAAGGTTGAGTGGAGTAAATAGGCTGAGCCTCAAATCAACAGCTAGCCATTACATCATCAGGGAAAACAAAGGGCCTGGATGGAGGCAGGTGGTTAGTCTCAACCTAAAATCAAAGAGCCAGAAAATCAATGACCTGAGACAAGGGCTTCGAAAGTGGGCTGAGATTCATAGATATCCGGTTTATCAAGTGAAACGCTAAAAGTTAGGAATTAAACATAGAAAATGGAGGGGAAAGATATCCAAAGTTTAAGGGAAGAAAGCAAAATGATGTGCAGACTTGAGCAACTTGTGTTACAATGGCTCCAACAACACAATGACAGTACATACATCCTTGTGCCTCTGCACCATCTAGTGGCCAGAGATTATGGAACTACAGTAACAAAGCCAAATATGGCGGTGGGGGGAGTACGTTTGTTTGGCGTTATCCTATTATAAATATTGACATGAAAGACCAGCAAAGTTTGACAATAAGAAAGCAGGTTGCTTACGGGGAAATGTATGTAAAATATACCAAAGGCAAGAAATGCAGAAATAGATATTAATTATGAACATTGGGTGGAAAACTGGTGTTAGGTATGCGATGTGGGAATGACAGGCAGTCAATAGCTATCACTAATTTCCACTTGGTGGGTGAAAGTAAACATCTGCAATTTTGTGGTCTTCTACTGAAGCAGAGGGTTGGACATTTGATGGGAGGGGTGGTATTTAGACTGAAGCTTTTTGACATAATTCACTCACCATTTTGAGATCACCTTGTTGTCCTTGTTTTTCTTTTTCCACACTACTATCGATAGTTACAATGGAAGTTGCCTCTGTTAACTTGTCACAATAGAATCTCCTACACAAGGAAATGGAACCTCATATACATGGGAAAGGTGTAATTACAGCATTGCTATGATATTGAGGGAAATCACTCACTTTTAAGAAGAAATTTGAACATCCGGTTATTGACTGGGATTTATGGATTTATGTTTCTGAACTAAAACTTTTGTGGTAGAATTAAATAAAGCATCTTACAGATGAACCACAACGTATAGAAATTGAAGGCTACCCAGTCTGGTAGAATAAACAAAAATAGGGAGTATTTCTTAAATGGTGAGAGGCTGAGGGAACTTGGTGTCTTTGTTTGAGTCTCTGAAAGTTGACATGCAGCTACAGCAAGCATTTAAGACATTAAATGATTTTTGGCTGATATTACTAGAGGATCTGACTGCAGAAGCAAAGATGTCTTACTGTACTTCTATAGAGGCCTGGAGAGACCATACCTGAAGCATTGTGCACAGTTTAGGTCTCCTTCCCTATGGAAAGATGTACTTGTGATAGAGAAAGTACAACAAAGGTTCACAAAATTAATTCCTGAGATGGTGACTGTCCTGTGCTGTAAGGTTAGTAGTCTCTGCCCTTATTCTGAGAAGATTAAAAGAATGAGAGGTGATACTTGCAGGGCTCAACAGGGTAGAAGCAAGAAGGGTGTTTCCCCAGTACTGGGGAACACAGCTCAGAATAAAGGACAAACAATTTAGGACTGAGGTGACAAAAAATTTCTTTACTCGGAAGAGTTGACTGTTTGGAAATAACCTATATCGGGAGCAGCGTAGACTCTGGCTCTCTTTCTGCTGTCACCTGGTCCTTAATGTCCATTATTGATTTCCTTTACCTCAACTCAGATTTCAAAATGCTCACCCTGGCTTGCCAATGTCTTTACCTTGCACCTGTAACTCTGCAAAACAGATCACATTCCTTAATTGGGGTTTTCTCTCCATTTCATTAATGGCAGACTTTCAAAACATCAATTCCTGCACTCAAATTTTCTTGTACAACTTTCTTCCAGTTATTCCTTTTGTCAAGTTCAAAAACCTTCTTAAAAATTAATTATTTGGTCACTTTCCATTAACCTTATGCTTGGAGCTTGTTCCAATCACTTGTAAAATATCTAGCTATTTCCCTTTTAAATTTGCTATAGAAGCCCAAGTTGTCTTCATTATTCATTATTGGCTAACCAGTGCTTGTTACACTTTGGATACATCACTTAGATGTTTATGGAGATGGTATGGAGTATTAGCTTAACAAAAACAGAAATTGCTGGAAAAGCTCAGCAGGTCAGGCAGCATCTGCGGAGAGAAATCAGAGCTAACTTTTCCGGTTCCGTGACCCTTGAAGCCCCAACCCTTGACACGAATACAGTAGCACCACCCGTGATGTCAGAACAGTTGCCCCCAACTGATTCCAGGGTCCAGTTAATGGGCCCTTATGTACCTCCCTGTCTCAAGTCCTGATCAGGAGTGGCTGGGAACGTGGTATTCAAAACACAAAACAGATCAGCCCCGCATGATCTTATTGAATGCAGAGCAGGTTCAAAGGACCAAATCATCTACCACTAAGTTGTAGTAGGAACTGCCAATGCTGGAATCTGAGATAACAAGGTGTGGAGCTGGATGAACACAGCAGGCCAGGCAGCATCAGAGGAGCAGGAAAGCTGACACTTCAGGTGTGGGCCCTTTTTCAGAAATGTTTTTGAAGAAGTGTCCAGACCCCAAACATCAGCTTTCCTGCTCTTGTGATGCTGTCTGGCCTGCCGAATTCATCCAGCTCCACACCTTGTTACCTCTAAGTTGTATTGTTCATGAGCTTACAATTACTTTATACAACACTGGAAACTTCCTTTTCAAGTAAATATCCAATTATCTTTTGAAATTTACAAATAAATGTGCTTCCATCACTCTTTTGGGTAATCAATTTGTGATTATAACCCACGTGGAAAAAAGAAACTGCATCCCGAAGGGCTAATCAGTCCAGTGATTCACTGCCCACCCTGGTGGTTCTTCAATGAAATACTGTATCTTCATCTTTTTTTCCTTACGTCCTTTTTTTATAAACATGACCATATCCTTTTAAAATAATATTCATCTCCACAGTACACTCCTCAATCTCCACTGTACGATTCGTATATTCATTTGCACGTGATATGAAACGGTTCTCGCCCTTTAACAGGCTTTGCTTGTAAATATTTCATCAGCCATATGGCTGTTTTCCTGGTGATGGAAAAATTGAATAACAAAGTCTTTGCACGATGATGTCTTTTCACTGTGTCTCTGTATATTAAAAAAAATTATACACAACCACCGGTGATTTGGCAAAAACATAAGCATTACTGCTGAGCCCTCTTGGGTGCAGTGAGGGAAGAAAAATAAAAACCCAAAACATTTCCCTCTCTCTCTCTGATCATTTGAGAATGAGCCAGACTCCAGCTTCCTGGCCCCGTGTCCGGGAGATGTCCAATCACTACGGGGAAGTCTTCAAAGAACAACCAATCAGAAGCCGCGTACCCAGTCTCCGCCCAGAAAGTGGAGCATTGGCCAATCAGAACTGGCCGTGGAAGTACAGGTATTTTTTAAAAAAAGAACCGACTGTAAACGTATTTGTGAACGGGGTAAGTGAGAGACACTTAGACAACTACATAGGGAGGCAGATAGACATAGGTGAATACATAAAGAGAGAGATAGTTACATGCATATGGACATAGAGAGAGAGAGAGATACGTACATACATACAGGAATAACAGAGAGAGACTGAGAGCGAGGGGAAAAGAAATACAGAGACTGACTGACTGAGTGAGAGAGAGAGAGGGCAGATAGATACAGGAGTCCCAGACAGAAACAGACAGACAGACAACAATAGTGATACAGAGAGAGAAACTTAAACAGAATGATACGGCAATTACAGAGAGAGACAGACATGGACAGATACACGTTGGAGGCAGAGTTATAGAGAGACCAGATAGATATTGGTGTTACGGGAGCAGATACAGGACAGGAGTGAAAAAGAAGGGGGAGCCGATACAGCACAGAAGTTAGAGAGAGAAGTCAGATATAGGACAGAAGTTAGAGCATTTACAGGGCAAGTGTTGGAGATGCATGGCTGGAATTAGAGACACAGAAATAGGATAGAAATTTGACACGGGGCACAGCCGAAGGTCATATACATGAAAAAAAAATAGACAGAGGATTAAAAAAATGTATGACAAGAGATGAAGCATCCGGAAAACACAGCAGAGATGTAGAAAATGCACAACAGGAGATACAGGTAATAGAGCACTAGAAGACAACGGGAGGTAGAGTTAGAGCAAGGAGATTTCGGGGGACAGTCTGCAAGAGGTAGAGATAGGAATAAGGAGTCAACAATATATTGAGAAAAAAAACAATAACATAGAGCGGGATACAGTACGTTTGTGTTTTGGCATAGTGCAAGAAGCTGACAAGGCATGGTGAACCTGGTGAGTGTAGACCAAATGCATTGGATCGTGCTATGTGATGACGGATTTCACTGGATGTTGTGACACGGGGGTCGGTAATTTCATTGGATGGTGTGACACGGGGGTGTGAGGTTTCACTGGATTGTGTTACATGAGGTTTGGCGAGTTCAGTGGTTGACTTGCAAATTTTGGGGTTTAGTAGATTGAAGTAGCTTTCAAAGAAACATAATGAAGGAAAGGAAGCAGAGTTTTTGCTTTGTATTTGTTCATCTTTAAAATCCACTTATTGCATTTCCTGGCAATGCCATCAGTTTGTTAATATTCTTCTCAACTTCTCTCTTAAACCTGATGAGTTACCCCATTTAAACCATTTGTCTGCAAATATTTTCCATGCATCTTTGAAAGACATGAGTTAGTATTTTTAATTTGTAGGTGAAACTCCTGAGCTGTGATGTTGCTCAAATCGGATGTGGAACCTGGAACAGGACTGTAGTAAAGTATTTATCTATAAACTTGGTCAGAACATTAAAGCTAAATGCATCTCTTGGTCAATTAAGCATAATTATTGTTGAATGTTTCTTTAGATTGGTAGTTATGTGGCTCTCCACACTGTCCTCAACAAGTGCTTTATGTTATCTCAATGTCCAAAAATGCCAGCAGGGAAGAATAGGATTTTTTTTTTCTGTGGGCTGGAAGAGTCCAAAACTAGAGGGCATAGGTTTAAGGTGAGAGGGAAAAGTTATAAAAGGGACCTAAGAGGCAACTTTTTCACACAGAGGTTCGTGTGTGTATGGATGAGCTGCCAGAGAAAGTGGCGGAGATTGGTATGATTACAATATTTAAATGGATCTGGATGGATATATGAATAGGAAGGGTTTAAAGGGATATGGGTCAAATGCTTGCAAGTGGGACTAGATTTATATAGGCTATCTGGTTGGCACGGACGAGTTGGACCAAAAGGTTTGTTTCTGTGCTGTATATCTCCATGACTCTATAACTCATTTGCCTGGTTAATCAGAGGCACAGTGAAATCTGTGGCTTCTATATTGCCAACAGAACATGGAATTCTCCAGTACCCTCGATGTGGGTAAACTTTCTTAGGATTGGAGCAGAAATGAAATTGCCAAGGAAGAGGTAGTGCAAGGCTTAGACTTGGGACAGGATGTTTCTAGACCATATTGCATAAATTTGGGAAGTTTTAGTCTAGATCCCATGTGCTAACTCTGTAGATGCCATGTGCTAACTCTGTACACTTTATGCAGAGGTGTCAGATTTGGAGTGGGGTGGACAAAGTCAGAAGTCGCACGGCAGCAGGTTATAGTCCAACAGGTTTATTTGAAATCACAAGCTTTTGGAGTGCAGTCCCTTCATCAGGTGAAGTGCTGTCATGTGACTTCTTACTTTGTACACTTGAGTGAGGGAAATAAAAAGGGAAAACGTTGATTAAAAGTTTGTTTTGCCATTGATTGTTTATAAAAAAAGTGATTTGATTAGCTGTGTTTGTATTGGTTGGTACTTTGGGTAGGTTTTAATCCCCTGTTTAGATTCAAGTTAATCAGCATGACTAAAGTTATATTTTAATTATCAGCATGTATGACAGACACTTAACAGAGACCAAATTCTATTTGCTCATCGCTCCTGTGCTCACAGACCCACGTTGATTCCCAGTCAAGCCGTGTCTCACCCTTAAAATACTCATCTTCCTTTCAAATTGCTCCACTACCTGTCTCTCCCTTACCTGGTAATCTGTTCTAGTCCCAAAACCCATGAGGAGATCTGTAGTCATCAAATTCTGGCCCTTGAACATCTCTGAATTTAATCATTCAAGCACTGTGGTCATTTCTTCAATGCCAAGGCCACAAACTTCTCATAATCCCTTCCCTACAGATGCTCCTTAAAATTTAACTCTTTGACCAAGATTTTGATCATCTAATATTTACGTTTTGTGGCTATGTGAAACCTAGCTTAATTATAGCTCATCTTAAGTGCCCTTTCGGCATTTTATTTCGGCAGCATTTAAATACTTGTTGGAAAGTGTGGAGGCCAATTTTCGGCACTACAGATGTAAAGTAAAACTATTGTAACTTATGCTAATTGGAAGCTGTAAAGACCCAATCTGACAATGGCACAGATGCACAATATGCTGTTTGGTCCCTTCAGTGAAATATTAAGACTGTATTTGTAATAACTGAGAGCACCAAAACATCTTCCTGTAAGTAACATTCTGACAATGAATGTCAGATTACCTCCTTGACTAACAAAATGTGTACTTGACAACAATTTGTATTTATTAGTGCCTAAATGCAATGTCAAAGAGGTAAGTTTTAAGGAGCATCTGTAGGGAAGGGATTCCAGATCTTGAGGCCTTTCCAGTTGAAGGAGTGATCACAGTGGTTTAATGATTAACCTTGGGGATGTTGAAAAGACCAGAATCTGATGACCATAGATCTCTTCAAGCTTTGTGGTGCTATCACTAAAATGTTTTTGGGTGTATCAGATTCAACAAAGTTTAATTAAGGCTTAATTTTCAGCACAGCCTCCTTGTCTAAAAGTACAAATAAATACATACGTGCACAGAATCAAATTTGGTACAATATTCAGCATTTCAAGCAGTTCAGATTACAATGTGTAGGAGTTCCTGGTCTAATTGAGATAATATGCTGTCTGGAGAGTGAGGATAAATTAGAAATATTATCATATTTTATGTAATTTATTTTCTTTATTATGTTTAACCTTATGAATTTGCACTGCAAATGACACTAGAAAGTCATTTTTAAAATGTTTTTTAGACTGGCACAATGAGAACAAGCGAATTTGACTCTTCAGATGAGGACTGTGAAGAACAGCATCAATTGCCATTGCAAGTATCTTGGTAAGTATCTGCAGTAAATTCACTGCTCACACTTAGCCAATATGTTTGTGCTCTATACACATATTAACACATGGCACCACTTGCCTCAGTCAGATGGAATGTTACTGAGATTGGAGAAAATTGCAATGTAATTCTGATTCTAATTGCTGTACTATCATAATCCTTGAATATTGCTGAAATGAATGACATGTTGCTGAAGCTCCATTCCACACTCAAGTTCACATTTGAGATGGATCAACACACGCTCTTTCCTCCTTCTCCACTACTGTCTTCTACAAGCCTGCCTTCTTCAATCAGTATATACACTGAGCTTCATATAGCTCCACATGCTACAAGATTGGGCCTTAACAGAATTCTTGAAAATAGTGCACTAGCCATTTGCTAACCTTGCACAGTTAAAACAAAATTAGAATGCATCAAAGCTTTCCTGCAGGACAATTGTTGTCTCGATCTGAGCATTATTCTGTGTGTATTGTGCAAACACACAAATTGGCCAAAGGCTGGCCTGAAAAATGCCTTAACTGATTGGCTGATTGAATCAAACAGTCCGATCATTCAGTTGTCACAATACATAGAATACAGTCTGTATTCTATTAGGTTGTGCGTGCAAATTCTGAACAGAATATCTGCTATTAAATTTGAGGCAATCTCTGCTGACACCAGAACTGTAGGGCAAATGTAGCTTGCACACTCAGAAGCTCACATGTACATGGTTCCAGGTCTTCTATGTTGTTGCATCAGGTGCGACATAGAAATGGAAATTAGACGGGATGTGAGTTGGGGAGAGAATGGATGAGGCTGGAGATGAGAGACGAGCTGGATTTCTCTCAAACCCCCACTCCAATATCACATTGTTTCCCTGACCCCCACCCCACCCCGGCCTAACACCTGGTCCTTCACAAACCCCTCCCTGTTCACTAATGCATGTTTGCAGGAAATAGCGTACATTCACTGCAAGGTCAGCAAACACAGCCTAAATTTGATTCCATGATTGACCAGCACTGTTTGAATAATCCTGCGTGCAAATAGCTACACTGATAACCAATTTAAGGTAATCGGTCTAACTCATAAGGTGGCTTGCTAGAAACAACATAGATTCAGACACAGGGGCCTATTGTCACCAAATAAAATGAGTATGTTCAGATTTTATGATTTTCTTTAATTACCCAGGAGCTTGGGAAGCCTTTAATTCTCCGTTGCTTTCTCAATGGCACTGTCTTGGCTAATTGGAGTTAATTTGCAAACCAATCAGCACCATTTTCTCCTGTACATTTAATAGCTGTGATCATTTGAAATTTGGTATTCTTGCACTTTTCCTGATGAGTGTAAGATGAAAAGCTTCAGGAACCTGTCTCTTTTCTTATCAACATTTAAGTTCTGTACTCTTTGTAGCATTCTTAATGTCTAATAAGTTTTTGAAGTAACAAATGCACCCTCCAAAAAAAAACAATAATTTTTCAAACAAAGTTTTTATCAATGCACCTTTTTCCACAGTTTCACTTGACTTACTTAACTCTCACCACCACAAAAGTATGCTTGCAGCACAGAATTTTTGTTTCTCTATTGTGCTGCAGACTCATTAAATGTTGAAGAGACACTAATACATGAACCAGACATTAAATAACTTGTCTAGTGTTCAACTGGAGTTTCTAATCCCATTTCAGTGTTGTACAAACATGCAAATTAGGAGCAGGAATAGCCCCCCTCAGCCCTTTCTGTCTGCTCTACTGATCTGATTACTCCACAAACCTTGCTACCTCTGATAACCTTTTACCCCATTGTTTATCGAGAATCTTCTTGATATTTCTGCCTCACAAATATTCAAAGACTCTTCTTCCACCACCTTTTGACAAAGAGAGTTCCACAGTCTGAGGATGAGGTTCCGATCTTTGGATCAGTGTCAGGTGTCCTTGCAGTACACTACAGATAGAGAGTGGAACATAATCCTAACATGCCATGTGGAACAGGCAACAAGGGGATGTGATGGTCTCTGAGGAACCAAGAGTATGGCAGCATTCACCTGAGGAGACATTGAGTGGCTAGGAAATCACCTTCTGCCTGATAGAATGCTGTAGCTTCAGGCACAAGAATCCAGGATAAACATGACTGACATTCAGTTCCAATAGATGTGACCTGGGTACAAGGATCACTCACTGACTGACTGTAAATTTGATGCTGTTTGAAAGGCAAGCAGTCATTGTCAGTGCTTAGAAGCAAATGCAACTTTTGCTTCTGTTTTACTTCATTTTTGCTGCTGCTGAACAAAAAAAAGTTTTCAACTGTTTGGAGGCTTTCAAACATGTGGAAACATGTGAAGATATTAGGCTACATAGAGCATTAGGGACAGAGTAGAGTCATAGAGTCATACAGCACGGAAACAGACCCTTCTGCCCAACTCGTCCATGCTGACCACGATTCCTAGACTGAACCAGTACCATTTGCCTGCATTTGGTTCACACGCTTCTAAATCTTTCCTATTCATGTGCCTGTCCAAATGTCTTTTAAATGTTGTAATTGTACTTGCCTCTACCATTTCCTCTGGCAGCTCATTCCATATATGTACCACCCGCCATGTGGAAGAAGTCCTTCAGGTCCCTTTTTAAATCTGTCTCTTTCCAGGGCCCTACCAAAATGCAACCCTTTGAATTAATCTAAATTAAACACCATCTGCCAATCCTTGGCCCACTGGCCCAGTCAATTAAGATCCTGTTAGATAACCTTCTACACTGTCCACTACAACACCAATTTTGGTGTCATCTACAAACTAACAAACCATACCTCATATATTCTCATCCAAATCGTTTATATAAACGATGAACAACAGTGAACCCAGCACTGATCATTACGACACACACTACGGGTCAAAGGCCTCCAGTCTATACAATAACCCTCTACCAATACCCTCTGTCTCAAGCCAATTTTGTATCCGATTGGCTAGCTCTCCCTGGATCCCATGTGATGTAACCTTACTAATGGGTCTACCATGTGGAACTTTGTTGAATGCCTTGTTAAAGTCCATGTAGACAACGTCTACCGCTCTTCCTTCATCAATCTTCTTGGCCATCTCTTCAAAAAGCTCAAACAAGATTGAGAGATACAATTCCCCATGCACAAAGCCATGCTGACTATCCTTAATCAGTCCTTGTCTTTCCAAAGTGTGTAGATCCTGTCTCTCAGAATTCCCTCAAAACAACTTACCCACCATGACATTAGGCTCACCAGTGTATAGTTCCCTGGCTTTTCCTTGCAGCTTTTCTTAAATAATGGGACACCATTAGCCACCCTCCAGCCTTCCAGCACTTCACCAATGGCTATTGATGATACAAATATCTCTGCTAGGAGACAAGGTTCAACAACGGAATGATGCTAAGGACCGGTAATTTGTGCATCTTGGTTCTTAAATAGCAATACATTTACACATTGTGCACTTGTATTTGCAGTGAAGCATCAGTTGTGTTACCTATGTGCCCTGAAGTGTTTTTCATTTCCCTCCCACTACTTATACAGTGAAGAGCAACCCCTGGCTGGCAGCACTTGCTGGCTCCAGCACCAGAAATCCCAGGAGATTGTGGCAGTGGCAAGAGGGACAATAGGACAAGGAGTGGGAGGGGGATGCGGTGGGGGTGGGGGTTTGTGGGGTGGTGCCATAGAAGCATGGTACAAAGATAATTAGACTAGTTTCGAAGAATAGCATGAGAAATTTTATTCGGGCTTATGGAGGGAAACCCTCCATGAAACTTGCCAAAATTGACATTTGTCTGATTTCTGCTAAAAGTTAGCACCAAAGCCTTGTGGAAAGTTATAGCTAAGCCTGCATGTCCTGACAGAGCTGTATATCTGATAAAGCAGTTTCATGATGGATAGACAGTCAACGTTGCTGTTAGAGATGAGTACACTGATCCCTGCGTTCATTAGTACAATCTTTGCTACTAGGCTTTCTGGGGCATTTGATAGACATGTGATGGAATACGCATCCAATTCAAAACATATGGCAATCTCTTCAATCTGAAATCCTCAACCTAAGATATAAGAGATGATGGAACAGAAATTTCCATTTGTGATGACTGTGGGCTAATTTCACACTGAGAACATAGTGTTCAAAGGATCATGAACTGTTACTTCAAAAGCACTGACAACTACGGGTTAAACATCACCTTAAAGAAGACATATATTCCTTCAACTAGCACCAAACTCTGACTATATACCAGTTACTATTAACAATCAATGGCACATCCTGATGGCTATAAATAACTCCTATCTCAGAAGCTCAATCACTAGAAATGTCTGCATTGATACCTAAGTGACAAATAGAATTGACAGTGCAAGCTCAGTATTTGTCCATTTATGGAACTGTGAAGGAAACCAGATATCAAATTAACAATAAAACTTAGTGTTCAAAGCAATGGTAATACTTGCTGTCCTTTATGTTCACGAGATATGGACTACTTACTCTTGATGTATTAAACAGTTTGACAGGTTCTTTTTGAAGTGATTTTTGGAACTTTGAAATGGGAGGACAAAGTGCACAATAGTGAGGTCTTCAAAAAGCAGAAGTGTCTGGAATTGAAGCATTTCTCATTTGAACCCAGCACAGATAAGTAGTATATATGGCTGACAATAAAATCCCTAAGGCAGTCATGTATTCACAACTTGAGCTTGTAGGTTAGGCTGAGGGTACTCCTTGAAGTGAACCTCATAAAGTGTGGCAGATCCATCATGGACTGGGAGAGAGAAGCTCAATAAAGAAGTAATTGAGGAGTTATCTTAATTCATGGTATTGTTTCCAGCAAACAGCAAAGAATACAGTAGTTGAAGATAAATGTCGAGTGAGAAAGGTAAGGTAGTCCCAAGAAAATCAGGCAATTTATCTTTGCCTACACCATGGAAAGCCAGACAGCTCTGCAACCGACATCCACAATCACAAGAGCACAGCAGTTGAGTCTATACATGCAGAAAACATGCCATCTTCATTAAGAAAGGGAAACCAATGACACCATGCTGCCCATCACTGAGGATTGGTTTATTTGTAGATCATCCTCCTTTTGTTAGTTGTTTAATTGTGCACCACCATTCATGACTGGATGCTGAGCTTAAATCTGATCTGTTGATTTGTGGGATTGATTGAATTTATCATATGCTCCATGTGCTGTTTGTCATGAACATAGCCTTGTGTTGCAATTTGAACAGTTTGGCATTTCATTTTTAGGTATTCTTATTGCTGCTAATGGCTTACCCATTTGCACTTGTTGAACCCCTAGCTTGATAACTGTGAGACCAAAAGAAATAGGAGCAGGAGTAACCATTCTGACCCTAAAGCCTACCCTGCCATTCTATAAGATCTTGGCTGATCTGCCCCAGGTCTCAGCACCCCTTCTGTTTCAGCTCATCATAGTCCTCAACTCCATGATATTACAAAAATCTATCTACCTCCTCTTTAAATACTTCCAGTGATGTAGCCTCCATAACTCTGAGGTAGAGAATAGCAGACATTCACTCCCCTCTGGGAGAATAAATTTCATCTCATCTGTTTTAAACTCCTAACTCTATAACTGTGTCCCCTAGTTCGAGAATCCCCATAAAGTGGAAACACCTTCTCAACTTTTACCACGTCAAGCCCCCTCAGAATCTTGTATGTTTCAATAAGATTCTTCTAAATTCTGATGAATTAAAGCATAATCTGTTCAGCTGATTTTGATAAGTCAACCCTTTCATCCCAGGAATCAACCTAGTCAATTTTTTTTTAAACTGTCATCAATGCCACTACACCCTGAGAGATTTGCCAGACCATGAGATTACACATTGCGGCTCAATATAGTTATGCTGCTGCTGCTGCTGATATCCCACTCTTGATGATTTGTCCTTTCTACCTTCAATGTTTCTTGCAATTTGTGTTTAATGTGGAAGAGTGATTCACCAGCTGAGGGAGGCTGACAAGTTGCATACAGCAGGTTTCCTTACCTATATTTGAACTGATGCCATGAGACTTCATGGGTTCCAGAGACCATGTTGAGGACTCCTCTACACTGCCTCTTGAATGTATACAGTGGTGCCACCTCTAGCAATGGTGGAGTCTGAGACAGTGGGGTACTGTATGATTTGGTGAGTAGGACTATGTCAGATTGTTGCTTGATTTGTCTGTTGAGGACAGCACTCCTGAGTTTTGGCACATGACCCTGGATGTTAATAAGGTGGACTTTTCAGGGTTCGCTAGGCAGGATGTGCCGTTGTCATTTCTGGGACCTAGTTCAATGTCTGATGGTCCATCTGTTTTATTCATTTATGAGTTTTCTACAGTAGTTGAGTACAACTAAGTGAGTTCCCATTTTGGGAGGCATTTACTAGTCAACCACATTGCTGGATCTGGCCAGATGGGCAAGGGTGGCAGATTTCCTTCCCCAAAAACATCAATAAACCAGCTGAGCTTTTACAACTGTTAATTGTACAGTCTGTTAGTTTAATGATCACCTTTACTGACATTGGCTTTTAGTTCCACATGATAGGATGCAAACTTGTGTCCCTAGAACACTAGTCTGCTCCTCTGGTTAGCCAGTTCAGGAGCAGTACCACAATGGCACCATTCCCTAGTATAAATCAAAGGGAAAACATAGCACTGCCAATTACTGATGGGGTTGAACGTTACCAAAATATAAAAGTAAGGAACAGAATGTGTGAATGTCATATTGTACCAAGGAACCATAAAAATGGAGGGAAACTTGATAACAAGACAAACCTAAAGGCTTTGTATCTAAATGCACGAAGCATTCGGAATAAGGGAGTTGTGTACTGGCCTCCTAGTAGTGATCCATTGTCTTTTTCTGAATATTAAAGTATATGCTTAATTTTGGAAGTGTCTGTTGTGTTTGGCCACTTGAAATTGCTAAAATATATAGATAGCAAAATATTTCTATGTATTTAATAGGTTGGCTTTATCAGTGGTGAACTGCCACCAGTTCCTTGGAATCTGTGCATTGCCAGGTAAGCCATTCGATTTGATTTATTATTGTCACGTGCTGAGATACAGTGAAAAGTATTGTTTTGCGTGCTATCCAGACAAATTGTACCTTACATAAATACAGCAGGGTAATAAAAAAGAATGCAGAATATAGTATTACAGCTACAGAGAAGGTGCAGTGAAAGATCAATGCTAATATAGGAGACGTCTGTTCATAAGTCTGATAACAATGGAGAGGAAGCTGTTCTTGAATCTGTTGGTACATGTTTTCAAACTTCTATATCTTCTGCCTGACAAAAGAGAGTATAACCAGGGTGGGAGGGGTCTTTGATTATGTTGGTTGCATTCCCGAGACAATGGGAAGTATAGATAGAGTCAACGGAAGGACTCATGATGGACTCAGCTGTGTTCACAACTCTGTAATTTCTTGCAGTCTTGGGCAAAGCAATTGCCATTCCATGCCTTGATGCATCCAGCTAGGATGCTTTCTATGGTCCATCTATAAAAATTGGTAAGAGTCATTGTGGATATGCCCAATTTCCTTAGCCTCCTGAGGAAGTAGAGGGATTGGTGTACTTCCTTGATTGTAGCATCAACATGGATGGACCAGGACAGATTGTTGGTGATATTTCCTCCTAGGAACTTAAAGCTCTCAACCATCTCCAGCTCAGCACCATTGATAGACATAGGCATGTCCTCCACTCCACTTCCTGAAGTCAATGACCATCTCCTTCATTTTGCTGACATTGAGGGAGAGATTGTTGTCTTGACACCATGCCACTAAGCTGTCTATCTCTTTCCTGTACTCTTGTCATATCCTTGTTTGAGATCTGACCCACTACAGTGGTGTCATCAGCAAATTTGGAAATGGAGTAAGAGCTGAATTTGGCCACACGGTCATGAGTGTATATTGAGTATAGTGTGGGGCTGAGTATCCAGCCTTGTGGGGCAGCAGTGTTGAGGATTATCGTGGAGGAGGTGTCGTTGCCTACCCTTACTGATTGTGGTCTGAAGGTCAGGAAGTCAAGGATCCAGTTGCAGGGCGGGTAGCAGAGTCCTAGGTCTCAGAGTTTGGAGATGAGTTTGGTTGAAATTATGGCATTGAAGGCAGAGCTAAATCAATACATTGGAGTCTGTAGTAGGTGTTCTTGTTATCCGGATATTCCAGGGATGAGTATTAGGCCACAGTAATGGCCATGGACCTATTGCAACTGCAGGCAAATTGTAGTGGATCAAGGTAATCTGGGAGGCTGGAGTTGATGTGTACCATTACTAACTTCTCGAAGCGCTTCATAATGATGGATATCAAATATGAGAAATACAGTGCCACAGAAGTGTGGTTTTCTTTCAAGGATTTGCCTTAATGGTCAATGATAATTTAAAAAATGAGGCTGCAACATCCTGTAAAATAGGCATATTTTAATTAAAACAGCTCAGTAAGGTAATCTGAGTTTTAAATTGAATTCAGAGATAGGATTTCTTGTGTCAAATTCTCTAAATCTCACCAACTAGAACGATAATCTCAGCATTGTTTATTTTCTCTAAACTCTGCTGGTTTCCTAATTACAATATAGTACAGCAGGTATCAGTGGATCAGTCAGTTGGCACCAATCTAAGCTGAAATGACAGGACAGTGACTGGTATCTTTAAATAAATGGAAGTTTCAGCCTTTTGTGAGAAGTAGCACCTTATTCTGAGTCAGAAGGTTTGGCTTCAAGTATGACTCCAGAAACCTAGAGGATATAATCTAGATTGAGTCAGAAGTGCAGAGTTTCAACTGAGGCATTAAACCAAAGCTGCAAATGCCCCCTCAATTGGCTATAAAAGAATGGTATTCACAGTTCTTCTCATTATCCAAGCCTATATATTTATCCTTCAACCAATATTAGAAAAACAAATTATCTCATTGCTATTGGATCTTCATGTATGCAACTATGTTTTTGACTTGGCTAATATCCATTGACTGGTCAGTGTCCTAAAATTGTGAACAACATTATATAAGTATATATTATTTCAGTCTAAAGTTACACTTGGTTTAATATCATGCTTTGTATTGTACACCTGAGGTCCTACTCAAGCCTATGGCAAAAGGATGAAGCAAACGTACCCAAATAAAGAATCAAATGAGGAAACACAGCCTTGTCTTCTTTGTGTTATGAAGCCAAATGAATTTATCCCAGGTGTTACACCAGTAGAGATCATACCTTTTTAAAAAGGAATTGAACTTTCAATTAATAGCTGAATGGATGACAGGACAAGATTTTACATTTTACTGTAACAAACAAGCTAAAAGCACTATTGATTCAACACTTTTTATAGGCACTTTGTATTTAAAATTATATAACTTAACTCCTTTCACAACCAACAAAGAAAACTAGTTGGCAAATGTTACATTGTCCTTTAAATAGATATTCAATTATCCTGGAAGCACTCCAAAATGTTTCTATGCATCCAAGGGTTTAATGTTTTCTTTTCCCAATTGGAAACTTTTAATTGCAGAACCAACATTCACTGTAGGTGTTCCTGTAGCTACAGCTCCCTCTAGCTACAACTAACCAAATTTTCCAGAGTCCTTTGAACTCCTCCAGAACTTCATCTTTGCGGACTGAGAACAAGCTGAAAACTCTCTGTCTCTCTCTCTTTCCACATACATAGGTTCAAAACTGGTGCAATTTAAATTCAATTAATAAATCTGTTTAATTTCAGTAACAGTCATCACAAAACTATCATTTATTCTTGTTAAAACCCATCTTGATTCATTAATTCCCTTTAGGGAAGGAAATCTGCCATCTTTACCTGGTCTAACATGTGACTCCAGATTCACAGGAATGATTTGTCAGGCTACCCACTGCAATCCTTTTATCTAAACTGAATTAACATACAAACTGGCCTAAATGCCAGAAAATAATCAATCAGTGTTATAATTACCTTCTAACTGACAAGGTTAATAGTGAAGTCGCCTACAAGTCCCAACAAAATATTTAATTTAATGGTGTAAGTCATTTCCTCTTTAGTTTTGTTTTGTACTAATTAAGGGTAGATTGCTCATGTAACCTTTATAGCAGCTGGAGATTATGGTCTTTCTTCATGTCATGTTTTGCCCATTTCACAGTTGGGTATCAATCTCTAGATTCCATATGACCTTGGGTCAATTCTACTGTTTTCACCATTGACACGTATCATGCATGTGGCATAGAAGATACCTGAGAGTAGTAGCATGGATGGACAGCTAGTGCACACTCCTGGAACTGTTTATAATCAAAACAAATTGTTCAACATGATTCAGAAACGGTTTTTCACATAACAAATAAACTCCGACACAAATTATGGGGACTGTTACTACTTAGAGGAAATATGAATCTCTCTTCCCAGGAAAAATTTGGGCAGGAAGATGATAGGAGGTAGGTGTAACAAGAACTCCTTCTCTTAACTTACCCCTCCCCATTGTCTTTACAGTCAGAGAGTCAGAGATGTACAGCACTGAAGCAGACCCTTTGGTCCAACTCGTCCATGCCGGTCTGATATCCTGAATTAATCTAGTCCCATCTGCTAGCATTTGGCCCATATCCTTCTAAACCCTTCCTATTCATATACCCATCCAGATGCCTTTTAAATGTTGTGATTGTACCAGCCTCCACCACTTCCTCTGGCAGTTCATTCCATACACACACCATCTGTGTGAAAAAATTGCCCCTTAGGTCTCTTTTAAATCTTTCCCTCTCACCTTAAACCTTTAGCCTCTAATTTTGGACTCCCTCACCCCAGGAAAAAGACTCTGTCTATTTCCCCTATCCATGTCCATCATAATTTTATGAACCTTTATAAAGTCACCCCTCAACCTCTGACACTCCTGAGAAAACAACCTCCCCATATAGCTCAAACCTTCCAACCCAGGTGACATCCTCGTAAATCTTTTCTGAATCTTTTCAAGTTTCACAACATCCTTCCTATAGCAGGGAGACAAGAATTGCACGCATTATTCCAAAAGTGGCCTAACCAATGTCCTGTACAGCCACAACATGACCTCCCAACTCCTATACTCAATGCACTGACCAATTAAGGCAAGCATACCAAATGCCTTCTTCACTATCCTGTCTACCCGGGACTCCACCTTCAAGGAACTATGAACCTGCACTCCCCAGGATCTTATCATTAAGTGTATAGGTCCTGCCCTGATTTGCCTTTCCAAAATGCAGCACCACACATTTAACTAAATTAAACTCCAGCTGCCACTCCTCAGCCCATTGATCCCGTTGTACTCTTGAGGTTACCTTTGTTGTCCACTACACCTACAATTTTGGTGTCATCTGCAAACTTACTAATCATACCTCCTATGTTCACATCAAAATCATTTATACAAATTACGAAAAGAAGTGGACCCAGCACCAATCTTTGTGGCACACCACTGGCCACAGGCCTCCAGTCTGAAAAGCAACCCTCCAACACTACCCTCTGTCTTATATCTTCAAGCGAGTTCTGTACCCTTCATACAAGGGGAATATCCAATCCTGATAAGTGGTGATTACTCTAAATCCTGGATTTGGGATACTAGGGCTTAGACAACCTTGATAGCAGAAGAACAGAATCTATGAAGTGGGCAAGAGGCCACAATATTGTTTTTAAAGAAGTGCTACCCTTGTGGACTAAACCTCCAGGATTTACAAGGAACCCTTCACCGTCCCCAGCCCCAGTTTTACTTCATTTTCCCAGCCCTGGCATTTAGTTCCAAACTCCAGTCCACATAATCCAAGCACTTAGCAGGAATATTAATTGCAATGGTCAAGAAAATAATGCAGTTACAACAGTGCAACATGCAACAGAAGAGGCAATATGTAGGTTGCACTGGTTGTTAGGATAATTATTACAGTTGAATAAGGTTTTATCAGAAATATATAATACTACATAATAATAAATAGGATTATTAGTAACCAAGTAAGAGTGTTGCAACAATTACATTTCTTGATGTCAGGCCTTAACGAATTTCACAGCTTTTTTGTCAAATTTGCCATGGGAAAATAATAATGTACAGGTATTAGAATGTCCTACTTTATAATATTGCTTCTGCTTTAAAAACTGGATTCACTAAAGTTATTAAATACTACTTCTTTTAAACAGGTTGTAAATTTAAAGATGTAAGAAGAAATCTTCAGAAAGATTTAGGTAATTCATTTTTATATATATATGTATATCATGTGTCTGGTCTTGGGTTTAAGGAAGGTATCCATTTTTGTTAACACTTCAATTCTAACTATTTTGCATCTGGAGTTACTCTTCACCATTTCATTTATATTTTATTTGGGGCTTTTTTTTTCTACCCTGTTGCAGGAGAATTGCTTGCAGAGTCCTTCTAATGCTGTTGTAACCTAATGTTTGATGCAGGAGAATAATTCCCATTTGATTTGTTTTTTTTTCAGTCAACAATGGGAGCTGAAATTAGCTTGCTTTTGTGGGGAATAGCAAATCAAATGTGTGACTTTTGCATACATTAATACAGTACAGTTCCACTCAACTGCTGCCTTCTTTTACTGGTTGAATTCAATTTAATTAAGCCAGTAACTCCTGCAGTCTGAGTTGTCGATTCTGTAGTTGGGATTAGGCTATATACTCTACAGCTGATATGGAGTTGATTGGTGATATAATTCATAGTATCCATATTCTTCAATTATTCACAGAAGAGCTCAAGAATCACGACATACAGGATGTATTTGTGTTCTGTACCAAAGGAGAGATGGTGAAATACAGGGTTCCAGGCTTGTTGGAATCATACGAGCAACATGGATTCAAGGTGTATCATTACCCTTTCCCCGATGGTAGTGTTCCAGATATTGCTAACTGTTGGAAAATTCTGGAAGAGTTGAGAATTTGCTTGGAAAATGCGAAAAGGATCCTTATCCAGTACGTGCATTGTAACTGTTAATTACACTTGTAGAAAATGTAATCTTCTATGGCAAATCAATTGCAGATGCAAGTAACTGTGTCTCAATTTGGATTAAGTACAGAAATTGTGTAAGACTGATGAATTGTAATATGGTGAGATTTATTTCCACAACTACATAAGTGCTAACACCACCAAAGTCCAAAGGTGTGCCAGTTGGGTGGATTGGCTACGCTAAATTGCCCATAGTGTCCAGGGATGTACAGGCTACGTAGATTAGCCCTGGGAAATGCAGGGTTACAGGGATAAAGTGGAGGGGTGGGTGATTCTGGGTGGGATGCTCTTCGGCGAGTTGGTGTGGACTTAATGGGCCAAATGGCCTGCTTCCACACTGTAGGGATTCTATGAAAGTTTCCAGTGTCAAAATAATTTGAACATTGAGTAGCTACTGCATTATTGGTACCTCTGATTGGGAGCTTAGAACTGACATACTTCTGCAGGATTTGAAAGACAGTACCAGCTTCATCAGTGTTTTTGATGCAATTACACATGGTCGGCTGCAAACATTTTCTCTGGAGGGCAGGTGTTTCTTGGCAAAAAAGGCAGGGAAAGATGGTCCCGTCTGAGCTTATAACCCTCAAAGCGTAATTTTTTCCAGCTTCTAAGCCATTGGGCCTGAAGTGCAAACAAGTCCCTTTTAAAAAGTTATTCACTTATCTGTTCATGAGCTGTGTCACGGATCAGCAATAGGTCACAGTTCAATAATGTCTCAAATGTGTCTAAGGTATGTTGAGACTTCACTCCCATGATTAATGAGGGAGAATGTGAGTGAAGGCAGAATACATACCTGCACTCATGCAACATTTTTATCAAAGCCACTTTCGACTCAGCTCCCCCCCCCAGGGTTGAATTCGAGTCTTCAAGGATGCCTTGTTGAAAGGGACATTGTATTTTCATTTCTCATAATTAGTTTGTGTGCTCAGTTGAGGGAAGTGTCCATACCACTCACATTCTAGATAGTTGATTAATCCCGACAGACTGATTAGCAGGTTTTAGATGCAAAAAATGCTGCATGATATCGATGCAACAGCCAAATATCTTTTAAATCAGAATTGCAAACATTTTCTTGAAGCACACTCTAATTTTCTTTGCAGATGTTACGGAGGCCTTGGACGTTCATGTCTAAGTAAGTGCAAAACTTCACATCCTATTCTTCCACATTTTTTGTAAACTTTCCTTTTCCACCAAAGGAAAATTGAAGAGTGCTTCTTTAGCTCTCAAGTGTCATGTAATCAGCTTAATAAAACAATTTGAAAGTGCTTCCTTCCTATATTGTGTCTCCTAGTTGCAGCATGTCTTCTACTTCAGTTGTCCGATACTATGTTACCAGAAGAAGCAATTGGCTACCTTCGTGAACTAAGAGGAGCTGCAGCAATACAAACAGTGAAGGTATAAATGAACGATGTCTCAAATCCTCAGACCACAAGAAATAGGAAAAGGAGTAGACTGCCCAAGCCTTCAAGTCTGCTCTGCTTTTAATAGGATCATGGCTGATCCAAGATTCCTCACTTTCACTTTCATACATTTCCCCCCAAAACCAGATCGCCCTACTGATCAAGGATTGCTCTTTCTCAGCCTTAAATACACCACCAAGACTCTGCCTCCAAAGCTCTCTATGGCAAGGAGTTCCAAAGACTGTCAACCTTCTGAAAGAAGAAATTCCTCCTCCTCTCAGTCTTAAATTGGCTCTCCTTTCTGCTCCTCTGGTCCTTGACTTAGCATTTGGGGAAACATCCTCTTAGCATTTACCATGTCAAGCCCCTTAAGAATCCTATATATTTCAATGACATCACCTCTCATTCTTCTAAACTACAGTGAATAGAGGCCCAACCTGTTTAGCCTTTGCCGATAAGACAATCCCTCCATACCAAGGAATCTTCTCTGAACTGCCTCCAATGAAATGATATCTGCAAACTTGGCTTCAGTACTTTCACTTCCTTCCTCCAATTCATTAATATATAATTAGTTGTATTCCCAGCACTGATCCCTTTAGACCTTCACCGTTGAGTCGCTAAACTGAAAATGAACTCCTTATCCCCACTTGCTGTTTCCTGCCCATGAGCCAATTCTCTATCCATACCAATACACTACCTCCAACACTATGGCTTTTATCCTATGACTTAATCTTTTGCACCAAATACAACAAATCTACTGGTTTCCCCTCTATCCACTCGGACATCCTCATAAAAAACCCTAATAATTAGTCAGATGCCATGTCCTTTTCATGAAGCTATGCTGACTCTGCTTGGTTAGATTGATTTTCCAAATGATTTACACTTGCTTAATAATTGATGCCAATACTTTTCCAACAATAGATGTTAGGCCAATCGGCATATAGCTACCTGCTTTTTGTCTTGCTCCCTTTTTGAATAAGGGTGTCACATTAGCAGGTTTCCAATCCTCTGATACTTCTCTAGAATCCAACAATTTTTGCAAAATTACAGCCAATGGATCCTGTAGCTATCTCAACAGCCAGCTCTTTTAGAATTCTAGGATGTAATGGATTAGGGTCAGGGGACCTATCTGCATTTTGTCCCATCAGTTTGTTTCCTCCTACTTCTTTAGTGATGGTACTTAATTCCGCCCCCATATCGTGTTGTAATAATGGGAAGTTTGAAGTGTCTTCCACTATGAACAGTGATGCAAAATACGTTTAACTCCTCTGCCATATTCTTTGTTCCCCAAAACCATCTCCTCAGATTCATTTTCTAAGGAACCTGTGTTACTTTGACCTCTCTTCCTTTTTTATGCATTTAAAGAAGCTCTTACTGTCAGTTTTTATATTCCTCACTAGTTTGCCCTTGTAGTTTATTTTCTGTCTATATTATCCTTTAGCCCTCCTTTGCTAGGTTCTGAATTTATCTTCAGGGCTACCACTAACTTTGGCCTCTTTGAACTCAACTCTCCTTATCTTCCTTGGTTAGCCATGGTTGGTTTATCTCGTTCTTAGAATTTTTCTCATTTTTGGGATGTATTTTTGCTGAGTCATGAATTACCTCCCTTCAAATTCTGCCACAGCTTGCTTACTATCTTTCCTGTTAATCTGGCCAGTCCACTTTAACTAACTCTATCCGAGTGTCATTGTTATTCCCATTAAGTTAAACACTAGTTTCTGAACCAGGTTTCTCACTCTCGAACTGAATACTAAATTCTATCATGTCATGATCACTCCTTCCTAAGGGATCTTTTACGCAGAGGTCATTAATTAAATACACCTCATTACCTTTACCAGATCCAAGTTAGCCTGCTCCCTGGTTGGCTCTGGGAAACTAGTCCTAATGCACTCTACGAATCTCTCATCATTGCTTTCTTTTCCAATTTGATACACCACATCAACATGAAGAATAATGTCACTCATAATTATTGCTATATTTATTTTACATGTTTCTATTATTTGGTGTTTATAGTCTTTCCCATACTGTGTTTGGGGGTCTGTGATCAATAAAAACAGATGTACTCAGGAAAAATGGAACATGAGCAACAGTTTTAGTAATTATGCTGTTTTGTTTGACAGCAATACAACTATTTGCATGATTTTCGGGATAACGTGGCAACATACCTGGCAACAAAAGACGACGCTGCAGCCCGATCAGTGTCAAGATAGGAAAAAGAAAGCAGAACTTTCAGGCTGTAGATTGTAATTGTTTGTAAATCGATTATATATAAATTTTACAATTACCTGACCTCGACAGAAGGTTCTGGCTAAAGATGATTAACTTCTAATATTCACTCTTTCTTCCACAACTGTGCTAGACCGGCTGGATACTTCCAGCATTTTCCAATTTCAAATTTTCCAGCAGCATTTTCTGTTTGTATTACACCATATTAACCTGTTAGTTTGGGGCTTTTATTCACTTGTTGGAGTTTTGTATCGAATTACTAAGCAACTTGCATTGTGTGGCATTTTTCAACTCCCAAAGTACACGGAGATATAGTTACCATTTTAGTAAAGGATGTGAAGTAACTGATTTTCACAGCTGGATCACAAACAGGACAGAAATAAATTACTACACCGTGCGTTTTACATGACAGTTAATCAAAAAATGATGTTGAGAGCAATCAATCGTCTGCATAGAAAACATATGTAATTCAGGCTAAATTTAGCCTAAGATAATGATAAAATAAATATCACAATTCAGTATTCGAACTGAACAGTGGGGAAAAAAAGCCTTGTTATTTTTACTGGCATTTTCCATCATATCATAAAAGATGCGTATCAATGAATCCAAAGATGTCATACCAAATGTACTTGGGATTTTTGTTGGTCATCACTTTAGGTAACTAAATTGCTAAGAAATAGTCATGCTTTCAACATACAAAAGGTTTTTCCACAAGTGTTTGATTTGAATTGCATGTCATTCCATTTTTAAGGAACAATACTTAATCTTGTCCAGTAACAAATTTTGTTCATATACTCAAGATTGATCACCACACTTCTTGCAAGATCACTTCATAACTTTCCAATGAAGCACACAGTGAGAAAACACAGCAACCTCAAGAACAGAAAATACAATTAATTTATCAATTGTCAATGTTTGACTAGGCTTGTCATAGAAGTATAAAATAGGAGTGTGTTAACATTAAACCTTATCCTTACAAAAGTACTATAACATACGGAAACTGGTTGGTAAAGTCTTTAATCAGTTTTGTTCATTTACAGTTGTACCTTTTCATTAAAATGTTATGTAGTCCATTCTTAAACAGCAGTCTCAATTTGCTAACAGGGATATTTCTAATGTAGTACCAAACACAATCCAAGCCCTTCTATATTATCATTTTGTTATTGAACATTTCCCATGGTTCACCTAAACATAAAATGTTGTATTTTTCAGCACACATTTTTAACATTCATTAATTAATTTCCAAGCCTTTTATTTGCAGGATTTTGTGCAGAAAAATAAACATAGCTGTTGCACACCACATCCAGTGACATCAGTGAACAAATTAACATGAGCTATTATGATAAAAAGAGTGTTGTTTGAACCTCAAACATAATTAAAACAATTGCTATACTGAGGCTCGAAATAACTAAATATGTTGTGTAGTGAGTTAAAAACTATATAAATATGTAAGTCAAATCAACATGGAGAACTTCGGCACCATTACTAGAGCTAAAAGTATTTTCAGACAAATGTTTAACAAAAACAAAAAAATTTATTTTTAAATAAATGTTACTTTGCATGGGAAAGGGACCCATTTGTGTAAAAAGAACTTTAGTTTGTATACTCTGTAAAGATTGACTATCATAGTTATTTCCATCATTTTCCTGTGGATACAATAAACTTTTAAAATAAATTCTGTTTGCACAATCCAAAAGAGACTATAAATGTTCAATTTACTAAAAGTGTAAATAATATCCATTGAGTTTTAGGGGTCCAAACTACATCCAGATTTCTCTGGTCTTTTATTTTTAAACTGGACACTATATTTGAGCCAAGTTACATAATTTTTTTTTTTACATAATATACCTGTAAATAGCAAACAGGAGTGCGATTCAATGTTACATTTAAAACATAATCTGTGATTAGTGATTTCATACGTAAAGAACAAACTTAGTTCTTGAGTTTTGGATCAAGGCAAACTGCAGAAATCATTTTTTCTACAGGCAGAAAACATAAAAAAAACCCTGGGGCCAAAATGTCCATGAAAAGTAAGGAAAAGCATTTAATCTGTATATATATAAGCCATTCATATCTGGTGAACTACATGTTCTGCAGATGAGCCCCAAGTTCTTGAAAAACCATTATCCTTCTGTTTCTTGCATGGAGTAAACAATTTCAGTGGATCTCACAAATGTTATTTAAGAACTCACCAGCACATAGATCATTCTGCAAAACAAAATTGTGAAAACATCTAATATACTAAACTTGGCAACATTAAATAAGATCACAGAATTAACTTCAATATAACAGTAACCAAATCAACTGCTGTGGTTAGATTTAATACACACTGATCTCTGGACTCCAATGCAAACATTATCCCTCCTATTGTCTCCCAAGCTGTCCTTTCAATCATTCACTCCCTACCCATCCTTTCCACTTCTTGAATATTTGTCTCTACTCATTAAGGTAAACCTCTACTCCTTCCACCTAAAGGGCTATTACCCTTACTCTGTTTGAAGTTATAACTAAGACCACCAGGATTAGGAGGAGCTTGTTGTGTCATTCAAGTGACCTACTTTCCTGTCAGGTGCACCTATAACTTTTGAATGCTGGTCAATAAGAAATCTGGGTAACTCAGCAGTTCTATGATGCAGTTTCTATATGTCTCTGTAGTAGTGAATTCCAAAGATTAACAATAATAGAAATTCCTCCACATTACTGTCTTAAATGGGAGACCACTTTTTTGAAACCGAGCTCTTAAATACTAAACATCCAATTGAGAGGTAACAGCCTCTTGAGCATTTGCCTCATCAAGCACCCTCAGAATCACCTCTCATTCTTCTAAACTCTGAGTATAGATTCAACTTTGCCTCATAAGACCATTGCTGGGATCAATCAAATGAACATTTTCTGAACTACCTCAAATGAAAGTATATCCCTCCTCAAATAGGGAGGCCAAATCAGGACAGTGCACTGCAGGTGTGGTCTCAGTAATACTTTGTATAGTTGTAACCAGACTTTTTTTTAAAATGTACTTCATCCTCCTTGCAATAAAGGCCATTTTACACCCTCCCTAATTACTTGCTTTACCTGCATGCCAACTACATGTGATTTCTGTACAAAGACATTCGGCTAACTCTGTATCACAGCATCCTTAGTCTCTTCCTATTTAAATAAAGTTCTGCTTTTCTCTTCTTCCTAGCAAAAAGGAAAATCTCTCATTTTTCCACATTGTATTCCATTTGCCAACTTTTTGCCCATTCACTTAACCCATCTACATTCCTTTCAAGACTCCGTATCCTCTCTGCTTTCTTACTTACTTTTGTATCGTCAGACTTGGATAGTCAGAGCATTTATCCAAGTTATTAGCACAATTGAAGATAGATACAGCACATCTTTACACTTTTAGCATCCCACTTGTTAGTTTGCCAAATGGAAATGATCCATTTATCCCAACTGTTTCCTATTAGCCAATTTTCTATCCATACTAAACATTAAACATTATGAGGATTTAAATTGTCTTGTAACATTTTACATGGAACTTTTCTGAACACCTTTCAGAATTCCGAATAGAATGGTTCCCGTTATCAAGTCTGCTTCTAACATCCTTAAACATCTGTAATAAATTTAGCAAACATTATTTCCCTTTCAGAAAATTATGTTGACTCTGATTGTTTTATAATTTCCTAAATATCCTGCTGCTACTTCCTTTGTAATAGTTTCTAGCACATTCCCAACTACAGATGTTAGGCTAGCTGGCCAATAGATTACTATTTTCTGTCACCCCCTCCTTTCTTGAATAAGGCAATTCAATACAAAAAAATCTGGAATTAAAAAGAGTCTAAGGATGACCATGAAATCATTGTCGAATGTCCGTGAATACCCATCTGGTTCACGAATGTCCTTTAGGGAAGAAAACTGCCATCCTTACCTGGTCTAATCTACATGTAACTCCAGACCCACAGCAATGCTCTCTGGACAATTAGGGATGAACACTAAATGGTGGCCCAACCAGCAATGCCCACATCCCGTGAATGAATAGAATAGTGAAGGCCTGGATACACTTTTATGGATTTGGATCTAGAGAACGTTTGACGGTTACAACCAACATAGCCAACATTTCTGCAACCACTCCTTTTGAAGCATAGCATCAGAGCAGCAGAATCTCACGACATTTATTTGCCCAGGTTCCATCAGTTTTCTTAGTTCTTTGTTTTAAGCTCCTCCTTATTTGTCTACTGACCACTATTCTTGGAATGCTTTTTCGTCTCTTCTACTATGAAAACCGATACAATATACTGTTCTAATCTCAATTTCCTTAATTCCCGTTGTTAATCCCCCATCCCTCTAAGGGATGAGCATTTACTTTAGATACTCTCTTGCTCCTTATGTACTTGATCCTCATTCTGTTTTTATATTTCTTGCTGCCTTGTGGTCATATTCCGACTTAATCCTCTCCCATTTTCTTAATCAGCCTCTTCTAGTTTCTAAAATGTCCCCAAACTTTTGGTCTACCTAATTTTTACAGCAAACAATTTTCTTTCCATTTGATTTTATTCTTAACGTCCTTAGTTAGCCACAGAGTGTGTATACTTCTTGTAGATTATTTCTTAATGATATACATCTGTAATGGATGAATATAAGCATAACAAAGCACTAGACAGAAAATCTTCTATACACGCACTGTGGCAGTGTTCCTAAGTGAGCACCTCACTAAGTTTACTTCAATAGGACATCACTCCCCTGTGATGTCCATTGCCAGAAACAAGAGGACGATGTTGGATAAACACCATCACTTTCAAGTCATACATGAACATACACTGCCATTATTTTAGTGTATTTGGGTCAGTATTCTACATATCACCACATCCCAAGAGATTAAGAGAGTCTCTTCTGTCACCTATTTACACTTCTTGGATGTGACAAAAGATAGTTTTTCTTGCTATTCGTAACCTTTATCTCTTCAATGCAAACATTTTTGTCTTTACTTTGTCAATATTACTTACCCCTAAACCTTCTCACCTGGTTGATTCTCAATTCCTAGCTTAGCTTCCTATATCCTTTTAGTTTCTTCTGCAGATTCAGTGTTAAGACTGAATAACTATATAGTTTCCCACTGCAGTTCATCATTTCCTAGGATTTTCATATGAAGCAACTCCATTAAAATTCTCTGCTTTCTCTTCTTCTTTCCACAAGCATAACACAACCATTATTTCTTATTTTATCCCATCAATGCCTAGCCTTCAACCTGCAGTGACAGTTTTACTTTTTTATCCAAGTTCCTCAATTGAAAAACATCCTGGTCTGAGAACTTGAAACCTAACACCTTAGGTTTTATACTCATAAGGTCATTCTAAACTAAGTGGCAGACAAATCTCAGTGGTAAAACTTAGAAAATATTTCTAAAATGAATTTTTATATCAACTTACCCATATAGATAGTAAAAAAAAGACAACAGGTAAAATGCTAGTTTGCACCACCCTTCCTTCTGACAATATGCTAGTATATCTGCATTCATAATAGTAGTAGGATCATAGAGACCTGGAACGCTCATTATTGGTCTAGTCATGTACCTGAAAATAAAACATGAAAGAGAGTCAATTTTTGTTAGCAAACGTAGTGATCAACAAATAAATAAGCCAAGAATGGAGTACAGACTGTTTCCAGATCATTCATGTAGTACTCACTTGATACCAAATAAGGAATACCCATAAAATTAGTTTCAGGGACCACATATCAAATTCATGTCATATCATCACACTAGTTATTCATTACATTAGTTAATTTAGAGGTTGATAGTACCTCGATTGAGAAGCTAAATAAAATTGGAAAAATAAATGTTTTGGATATAATTTGGCTTTGGCAATGCAAACTGGTGCAAAGCTACTTTGATGCAAAGACAATATTAGAACACTGACTTTTTTAAACATAATCAAACAAATAATAGTATCCATTTATAGGCAATGTCTCAGATCGCACATTTCCAAGGGACAGTCAGGCTGATCCCAAAAGTAATACTGTAAACTACTACTTAAAGAAAGTAAAAAAATAAGTATATAATTCTGCAAACAGGCAAGTCAGAAGTTGAACACAATATAAAAACAAAGCGAAAGGATAGAAAGATATCTTGATATGGATTTAAAAACAGATAGTAAGAGTTTCTACAGGTATTTAAAAGTGGAAAAAAATGAAATGATGCACAAAGTATTATCAGAACTAATAGCTGATAAGCCCCAGGTCTGAATGGACTTAATGCTAAGGTCTTAAAAGAAGCACCTGCTGAGATAGTAGATGCACTGCTTTTAATTTTCAAAATTCCCTAGGTTGTAGAAAGGTCCACATAGATTAGAAGACACAGTAAATTCTGTTAAAAGGTTGTGACTGCATTCTTAAAAATTGCAACTTGAAGTCAAATTTCTTTTTAAGTAAAGCATGATTTCCCCGTGGAATCAACGTTTCAGCCACAGTTAAAGGACTCTTATGCTGCAGCGGTAGTGTTCAACCTCCAGGCCAAATCCCGCCTGTTCCCGGTATGTATCATGACATGTCTGAACAGGTTGATTTAAAAAAATGGTAATTTTTTTTAAACGACTCATGGGATGTTGGTATCGTTGGTTGGTCAGTATTTTATTGCCCATTCCTAGTTGCCCTTGAGAAGACGGTGGTGGACTGCCTTCTTGAACTGCTATTAGAGAGGGAATTCCAGGATTTTGACCAATGACCGTGAACGAACGGCAATTTATTTCCAAGTCAGCAAACATCTGTGGTGTTTGGCATGCAAGTCATTCTGTTTGGTACCTTCACCAGGTCGACACCTCATTTTTATGTATGCCTGTTGCTACTCCTGGCATGCCCTCCTGCACTTTCCATTGAACCTGGGTTGATCCCCTGGCTTGATGGTAATGGTTGAGTGGGGGATATGCCAGACCATGAGGTAACAGATTGTGCTGGAGTACAATTCCGCTGTTGATGGCCCACAATGCCTCATAGATGTCATTTTCAGTTGCTAGATCTGTTTGAAGTCTATCCCATTTAGTCACATAACACAACAGAGGATATTATTAATGAGAAAGTGGAACTTGTCTCCATAAGGATCATGCAGTGGTCACTATGAAACTGTTACGGACAAATGCATCTGCAGCCGTCAGGTTGGTAGAGAAGAGGTCAAGTATGTTTTTCCCCCTTGTTGGTTCCCTTACCACCAGCTGCTAGACTTGGTGTGCAGCATTGTCCTTTAGGACCCAACTAGATCAATCAATAGTGCTGCTGCTGAGCCACTCCTGGTGGTGGAGTTTAAAATCCCCCATCCAGTGTCATTTTGCACCCTCAGTGCTTCCTCCAAATGTTGTTCAATATGGAAGAATTCATCAGCTGAGGGAGGAGGGGTACGTGGTGAACAGCTGGAGGTTTCTTTGTCCATGTTTAACCTGAAGCCATGAGGCTTCATGGGGTCCGGACTTAATGTTGATGACTCCCATGGCGACTCCCATGGCAACTCCCTCCCGATTATATACCATTGTGCCGCCACCTCTGCTGGGTCTGTCCTGCAGGTGGGATTGGACATATTCAGGGATGGTGATGATGGTGTCTGGGACATAGTCATACTCATGGAATGAGACCTTATAGATAATGTCAGGCTGCTGCTTGACCAGTCTGTGAGACAGCTCCCCCAATTTTGGCACAAGCCCCCAGATGTTAGTAAGGAAGACTTAGCAGGATTAACATGGCTGTTTTTGCCACTGTTCTTTCCAGTGTTTCAGTTGATGTTAGTTGGGCTGTCCAGTTTCATTTCTTTGTTGAGACTTTGTAGCAATTGATAAAACTCAGTGGCTTGCTAGGCTATTTCAGAAGGCAGGTGAGAGTCAACCACATTGCTGTGGGTCTGGAGTCATATGTAGGCCAGACTAGGTGAGTATGGCATATTTCCTTCCATTTGTGAGCCAAATGGGTTTTCCCAACAATCAACAATTTTTCACAGTCACCAGACTATTCTTAATTCCAGACTCTTTTTTTTTTAAAAATTGAATTCAAATTCAATTCTGTGGCAGGATTCGAATCCAGGTCCCCAGAACATTAGCTGAGTTTCTGGATTAACAGTTTTGCAATAATACCACTAGGCCATCACTTTTTTGCTGGTAAAAAGCAATTTACAGGTTGAAACACTGTAACATGTGCCATATTCCTAGCTGAAATAACTTACCAAATAAATCACTAAATATAAGATAAACAATATACAATTTAGTACTTCAGGACCTTTGAGCAGAAAACTTCAAATCATTAAGTTGAAATGTTGTACACACCTAAATGCCTACCTTAATAAATAAAATTGTATTTCTTTAAAATGAAATAAAGTTTAAAATACTGTGAAAGTACTGTAAATACAGTAGATATTAAAATTGCACACCTAAAGTTTTAGTTCACTACGTTCCATCTAGTGGCAGACACTGGTTGATGCAGGCAGAGCTACCAACACAGCAAGACCTCTGCCACAAGATGGAACCCAGGACTTCAGTGTAAGATTAGAAGAGTAACCAGGACAGAAACAGACACCACAGACTTTACAGATGAGGACAGAGATCTAGTGATAGTTTGCATGGAAAAAGAGGGTCTGAGGGCAGGGACAAGAGAAGGAGCAAGGCCAGGGAAACTGAATAAAGGAGCACAAGCATTGGAAAAGGTTCTTGAAAGCAGGCAAGCCATAGAATAGGTAGTCTAGCAAACAACATTAAATAGAAATTCTCAATGTTAATCAAATATATTATCACTTTTTTAAAAAAAAGCAAGGTTAAAGCGAAATAACATTAAGTCAGAGAACTTTACATGAGCAGAATGACTGCTCCAATAAAGAAAAGGCGACAGAAAGCAGGAATCTACAGGCCACATTTGTCATAGAGAAAACGCTGGAATCATTTATTAAGGAGATTATGGCAAGCCACTTGGAAGATCTCAATGCAATAAGGTAGGGTAAACAATTTTTATGAAAGAGAAGTCATGATTGACTTAATTTCTAGATTTCTTTGAGGAAGAAACAAACAGTGTAGACAAATGCAAATCTAAATGCAGAAGGTTTTTGACAAGGTGACACAAAGGTTACTACACAAAATCATAGATCAAGGTATTGGGGATAACATATTAGCACAGATAGATGGTCACTTTTAAGTTGGCAAGAAAAGAGCTGGAAAGCTACAGTGCTGGGGCTCTAAAACATTTATGTCAACGACTTGGAAGAAGTAACATTAAGACAGATTTTAAAAAAGTGCATTGTGAAGAGGCCATAAGTAGTCTGCAAAAGGAGATGTTAAGTGTGTGGGTGAACAATCGAGCATGAAAACGTCAGAAAATATTAACTATTCACATTGGCAGGAAGAACAGAAATGCAACATATTGTTTAAATGGAGAGAAACTGCAGAACTGTGAGGTCAAGGGAAATCTGGATGCCCTAGTACATGAATCATAAAAGGTTGAAGAGCAGTGTAGAAATCAAAACAAAAAGTAAAAACTGTATGCTTCAAATTCACTAACTCAATTTTTAAGCTCTGATCTCTGACTGTGTGTCATGTGCATTGTTCAATTCCAACCACTTGATAATTCCAAAATCTTTAGCAAAAACTCAATATTAGCAGGAATAACTGTACTCCACAGCATTAAGTGAATCTTGCACTGGAAACAGTCACCTAGCCAAGACTAAATACTTAAAATGCAGATATTCTGGAGTTTGCTTAATTCTTTGGTGGATCATGAACATTTATGCAGATAATTTCCCACAAGAAATTAAACAGGTGGGGTAGATTCCATTTTAAACTAAATTGCAGAAGTTTTATAGAAATGTCAGCTTTGTCGAGCAAAATGGCCTTTTCTTGTTTAATGCTCAAAATTCACAAATCCAAATTTCAATTTTTTTTTCTAGTCAACCATTTACAATCCCACAGACTTATTACGAATTTGACTGGTTATTTCAAATTGTTTGTTAGTGCAGCAATTAGCATATTCATGATTTTTCAGCAACTGCTGCTCAATCATGGGATCACATGCAACAACTAACTTTGCTGTGCAAGCTTCCATTGCTAGAGTATGGTCTGCACATTGCCGATTATGAAGAACATTTGACCGAGTATGAAATCGAGAGCTCTAGCAACAGTTAAGTCAATGGGAATCAGCAGAAAAACTCTACTTGTTGGGGTCAAACCTAGCACAATAGAAGATGGTTACGGGCATTGAAGCACAGTCATTTCGGCTCCCAGGACATCTCTGTAGCAGTTCCTCAGGATAGTGCCCCAGGCCCAACCATCTTCAGCTGCATCAATGATCATGCCTCCATGGGATTGGGGGAAGTGTATTGAAATGGATAGAAAACCAGTTGACAAGAGAGGAAACAAACAGTAAGAATCAATGTGTCCTTTTCAAATTGGCAGGCAGTAACTGGTGGGGTGAACAAGGATCGGTGCTGGGACCCCAGCTATTCACAATACATATTAATGATTTGGATGAGGGAACAAAATGTAACATCTCAAAGTTTGCAGATGATATCAAATTGGGTGGGAGGGTAAACTGTGATGAGGATGCAGAGATCCTTTAGCATAATCTGGACAGGTTGGGTGATTTGGCATAGCAATGGCAGATGCAGTATGATTTGGATAGATGTGGGGTTGTTCATTTTAGAAGCAAACAAAAGGCGGCAGATTACTACCTGAATGGCTGTAAATTGGGAGGGGGGAGTGTGCAGCAGGACCTGGGTATTCTTGTGCACCAGTCGCTGAAGGTAAGCATGGAGGTGCAGCAGGCAGTAAAGAAGGCAAATGGTATGTTGGCCTTCATTGTGAGAGGTTGAGTACAGGAGCAGGGATGTGCTGTTGCAGTCGTACAGGGCCTTGGTAAGACCACACTTAGAATATTGTGTGCAGTTTTGGTCTCCTTTTCTGAGGAAGGATGCTCTTGCTCTCGAGGGAGTGCAGCAAAGGTTTACCAGGCTGATTCTGGGGATGGCAGGACATACGTATGAGGAGAGGTTGATAAAGTTAAGATTGTTTTCGCTGGAGCTTAGATGAATGAGGGGGGATCTCACTGTAACTTATAAAATGATACCAGGACTAGACAAGATAGATGCTCGGAGGATGTTCCTGATGGTGGGTGTGTCCAGAACCAGAGGTCACAGTATACCATTTAGGACAGAGATGAGGAGACATTTCTTCACGCAAACAGTGGTGAGCCTGTGGAATTCATTACCACAGGAAGTAGTTGAGGCAGCATGGGGTGAATGGGATCAAAGGTTATGGGGAAAAAGCAGGATTAGGCTACTGAGTTCGACGATCAGCCATGACCGTGATGAATAGTGGAACAGGCTCGAAGGAGCAGGAGGTGGTCATTCGTCCCCATCTTCTATGCTTTTGTAAAGTCTGAAATGGGGATGTTCGCCAATGATTGCACAACGTTTAGCACCGCTTACAACTGCTCAGAAATTGACGTAGCCCATGTCCACATGCATCAAGAGCTACATTACAATATCTAGGCTTTGGCTGAAAAGTGGCAAGTAACAATCATGCCACACAAATTTGTCAGGCAATGACCATCTCCAAAGAAAAGAATCTAACCATCACTCCCTGATGTTTAATGGTGACACCATCACCGAAACCCCCACTAGCAACATCCTGGAGGATGCTATTGACCAAAAACTGAACTAGACAATGCATAAATACAGTGGCTACAAGAGCAGGTCAGAGGCTAGGTATCTTTCAGTGAGTAACTAAACTCCTGACTCCCCAAAGGCTGTCCATTATCAAAAGGCACAAGTCAGGAATATGATAGAATATTGCCCTTTGACTGGACGAGTGCAGCTTCAACAATACTCAAGAAATATGACACCATCCAGGACAAAGCAACCCAGTTGACTGGCAACGTATGCACAAACATCCACTCCCTCCACTACTGATGCTCAGTAAGAGCACTGTGTTCCATCTACAAGATGTATCGCGGAAATTCACCAAGACTTCTTAGACAGCATCTTTCAAACCAATGACTACTTCCATCTAGAAGGACACATTCCCAAATAAATGAGAACGCTATCACCTGGAAGTTCCCCACCAATCCACTCACTTGGAAACATATCACTGTGCTTTCAGTTATATTGGGTCAAAATCCTAGAACTCCTTCCCGAGTGGTGTTGTGTGTCTACCTAAAACTCATGGAGCAGCAGTTTAAGAAGCAACTCCCCAGCACCTTCTCAATAGCATCAAGGATTGGACAATTCATGCTGGCCCAGGCAGTGACACTCACATCACATGAATGAATTTAAATAAGGACAGCCAAACACTTGGCTATACAACCTATATACCTGGCATTGTACCCGCACTGAAATTTATCCATGAAGAAGCTCAATTCTGTGGTAAGCAAAGCGTCTTTTTTTGACTGATGGCAATACCCAAGTAGTGGAAAATATCACTCAAGTAGTCACTGCATAATGGAAACGGTACAATCTGAAACAGCTTGCTTAACCCTGTTGTACAAATATTTGAGATACTTTCCCAGAATGATGAGGGGTAGATTGGGATTTCTCAGGTCCAAAAGTGGGAGACCTTTGCCCATTTCAGATTCCATCTTTGCCCTATTTGATACATTCTATTTTTGTATCAGGTTTGCAACATGAGTAAATGGCTACAGCCCTAGTTACAAGATTGCTGATCAGACCAATCTTGTAGCTTGCTGAGTTAATACAAATACGAACATGTATACTGATTGCTTAAGACAGTCAAAAACCCACTGGCAGACTTCTCAATTAGCCCAGAGGAAAGTAATCATAATGGACTGCTTCAATTCAAAAATGAATTTGGGCATTTGTGGGAGAGGATTATGGTATGTATGAAAATCCTTAACTATATTCAATGATTGTACACAAATCTTTTGAATCAGCAATGTGAGAGACTTAGGTGGTTAGGGTTTATTCCATCATAAAAACGGGTTTTCTGTGGAAGTCAGGCCAGTTGAGAAATCCACTAATGGGTTCCTCACTACTGTCGACAAGAAGCCTACATCACCATATATACAAATCTAGATTTAGATCACAGAATCCCTACAATGCAGGAACAGGCCCTTCGGCCCAACAAGTCCACACCGACCCATCCCCCTATAACCCACCTAATCTCCACATCCCAGAACACTACAGGCAATTTAGCATGGCCAATCCACCTAGCCTGCACATCTTTGGACTGTGGGAGGAAACCGGAGCACCCGGAGGAAACCCACGCAGACACGGGGAGAATGTGCAAACTCCACACAGACAGTCGCCTGGCGATGGAATCGAACCCGGGTCCCTGGCGTTGAGGCAGCAGTGCTAACCACTGAGCCACCATGCCACCCTTTGTACAGTGCCTCAAAATAAGATTGGTCTTATCAGAAAGCTTGTAAATAGGGTGCTAGCCATTTGATCACCTTGCATGCTTGACACAGAAACAGAGTCGCATCAGAATGTACAATCACCTACAGACTCGCCCTGAGAGTGCAAGAAAGTCATCCTCATCTGCGAGGGACCACCAATGATGGTACAGCATGTCACAGCTATCTTGCAGACAAACCTGATCAGATCACTGTCTGTCATATTTCACACAAACAGGCTGAAGATTACCACTTTTTGACCTGAAAAGTTCCTGGTCTACTTTAAATTACCCTGAAAAGATAAAACATCCCAAGAAATTTGACCAACAGGTTAATCAAGCTGCTTCACATGAGTCATACACAGCTGCCAACAAGTGGCATTTTCCACTACCAGTATTCTGCCTACCACACATTTTAGCAACACTGTCTGAATTTCATTACTGGTACAATGTAAGGTATATGGTCCCATGTTCCAACAATTTTCTAATGAAATCCAAAAGCATTGTCATTCATTTATTTATAATAGTCAGAGTACAGAATATATTCACCAATCTCACACCAGTAAAAAGTGAAACAAATCAAGTGCTATTGGATATGATTTTGTGATTGGGATAATTTGGTATACGTTGCCCAACAGCACTACTCATAACACTAACCACCAATTTAGGATAGCAGAATCATACAAGATGTAAACCTTTGATCCATCAAGACTGCATTAACAAAAGCCTACTCTAATTCTAAACTAGTCCCACTTTCCAGCAGTTAGCCCACAGCTTTTTATGTTACAGTATTCCAAGTCCTCATCCAAGCACTTTTTAAAGGTTTCTTGCCTCAACTGACCTCCCAGGCAGGGCTTGCCAGATTCCTACCAACCTTTGGGTGAAAACAATTTTCCTTAAATCATCTGCTTTTCACCTTAAAATTATGCTTCCTTGTTAATTACTCTTCAACTAAGGGAACTATCTGTCAAACATGCACTATACTTGATTTACACTTGCTAGAATTGACACATTTATATGCAGGCTCACATTCTCCAAATAAAGGAAATATGCTCAAGTTTTGCATCTCTCTATAATCACCTCTGAACCTGGGGACTCTGTAGTTCCCCCCCTTTTTGTTTGCCAAGACATCCCTTCTCCTATAATATAAATGATGAAGGCATTTGAAACTTGGTATTCTTGCATTTATCCTGATGAATGCAAGGCAAAAAGTTTCAGAAACATCACTCCCTTTTCAACCAAATTTGTATTGTCTATAACCAAGTGAATGTGCTTATAAATGGAAGAGATTGTGTGCCAGACTTCAGAAAAAAGCATACAGTACACAGAAGGCAAACAGAAAATACAACAAATAAACTACAAGAGTGCTGCTCATTTAGCATAATTGAAATTGTTTTCAATAGAAAACTGCAAACATCAACCACTTACCTCCAGACATGGTAGCCCAGCAGTGGCATATTGACACCCAGTGTAAGCCACTCTGCTGCACACAGGAACATGACACAGAAGAAGGCATGGATGAGATACTCAGGAAGTACCAGCTGAAAAAAAACTTAAAGTCAGCATGTTTTATTATCTTTGTTCTTATATTAAAGAAAAAAGAAAATGCCCTTTGGAGTTTTAAAAAAAATTAATAGATCTCCCATAAGACAAATACTTCAGTCATTAAGGCAATAGATATTTAGTAAGCAGTTCTCAAAAATTCCACTTGGGGGCATCATTACATAGCTTAGTAAAATACTACTGTTTTACCTCTGGAGACTCGAGTTCATATCCAGCCTGTCCGACGGAGCAAATTTTTCCTCTAAAGGTCCCAAGATGAACAATTTCAATTTTCTAATTTTCTCAATCAAGTTTCTAATGGACAAAAGTCCATAAAACTAAGCATAATCCAGCACCAATCACCATCAAAAACAGGTAGTCTCAAAAATCACATGAATTGGAAGAACTTTACACCGCCTTAATCCCTTGATCAGAAATCACATGACACCAGGTTATAGTCCAACAGGTTTATTTGAAAACACAAGCTTTTGGAGTCTTACTCTTCCTTCAGGTGTTAGTGAGAGAGGTAGTATGGGACACAGAATTTATAAGTAAAAGATCAAAGAGTCACACCACTGATGAGGACATACCTAAAATGCTGTTAAATCTTTAATCAGTTAGAAGGTTTTAATTGATTTATATGTAAATCCACAAATTCCTTTGAAGTCCTTGTCCTGAGAGAACTAAAGGTTTTATCACTCAGTGAAAAAAAAAGGTGACATTTTAGGTCAGACAGACAATGCGTGATAGATGTGAGACCTTGTTTAGAATCTGTGCGTTTTGGTTTGGAGTCAGACTGCTTGTATTTCTAAAGCAGGAATTTATAAAACACCACACTGACTGTCTATAAATTAAATGCTTTTTGAACAAAATAGAACATATCTGCAAATACAAATTCACCCCATAGATATATGTGAGGGAGGGAGGGAGGGAGGGAGGGAGGG